TCCGTGTTGTTGTAGGAGGTCTCCTTGGTTTTTATTAAGAAGCCGGGCGAACTTTATCTTCGTGTGAAGTTTCCCTAGCTTTTATTGGGAGACCGGGCAAAATTAGGGGTCTACAGATGTCATTGGTTCATCATATAAAATCTATCCAGCTTACTCCCTCCTTACACAAATTAAGCAAACGTGTAAGTAATTGATTCTCCCCATAAGATTAAGCAACTCATGACACTGCATACAATAAACCCGAATTCATTAAGCATGACTTACGTTTAATGATCCAGTGTAGAGAATCAACAATAAGGAACTAAACTGGACATTTAAGTGCAAAGAACCTCTCAAAAAAGATTGCAATCCTTCAAGGACCCAATCCTCTGGGTTTAGCTATCCATTAACACGAAATTACAGCAGAATAGCAATACATTGCAAACAAAATGAAAATGCAGAAATTGAATTGTAGCAAAAATTGAAATATGAAACTGGGGTTGAACTGAACTGAGCAACACAAATGAAAATGCAATAGAAGTGAAAGAATGTAAACTCTTATGGCAGCAGAAAAACGAAAATGAATCGTATTAATCCATCAATAAGTCTTGAACAGTCAAAATGGAAAGTGCAGAGAAAACCAACATAAAACAGAATGTAACAAGAACTATGGTGGCTACCTCCTTACTCCTGTTGTCTCATCTCAAACATATGCCTACCCTAATCCTAGAGTCCCCTAGAAATGGGCCCAAGCTGGCCCACACGGGATTACACAAAAAACAGAACCTAGCTGGCGTGGTAGCCTATAATCCGATGTGGAAATAGTAGTTGACATGGCAATGACGACGTGGCAGTGACATGGCAATGGCGTGACAGTGACATGGCAATGACATGGTAGTGACATGGCAATGCCTCTTAAAGTCCAAAAATTAAATTCTAAACTCAATGAAACCTGCAATTAATTAATAAACAGAATTATCAGTCCAATGAAGCCTAATAATTGAAAAAGTACTAATAATAGACAATTAAGCACAATGCAACAATTAAGATAGGTACAGAAAGTTAAGAAAATGCAGGAAAATAATGACTCATCAATGACCATAAGATAATGTGGGCAACCATACATGTATTCGAACAACTCATTTTATCTTATTTACCAAAGTAACTTTATTTTGATAAGTAAAACACATGATGGTGTTTGCGGTCATACACGTGTATCAAAATTTATTTTTTTAAAAATATTTTTAAAATAATAAGCACTTGATATAATGATAAAAACAACCATATATTTATTTAAGCGACTCTTTAATACACAAATGAAAATTTAACTGCTCATTTGTATTAAAGAATTGGTGCAAAAAGATTAAAAATAACGTTAAGATTTGGTAGCGTGTGAAAAAAGAATCAGTGCATGCATAAATGACCAGATGTTCTGTTAAACTAAATCGAATAGAAACTAAGGTTGGAAGTTGCTAAATTGGATAACGAAAAACCAAAAGCCGCAATTATCAATATTCAAATAGATAATATTACCAACATTGCAAATAAAGCAAGTTTGGGCTTGGTATACGGGTGCTAGTCGGGAACTATGCTTGATATGCGGGTGTCAATTGGAAGTTGAGCTTGATATACGAGTGCTAGCTAGGAAATGGATTTTATATGCAGGCATAATGAGAACTAGGCCTTATATGTGGGTGTTAGTCGGAAACTTGGCTTGGTATGTAGGTGTTAGTCGAAGGTTGAGCTTGATATGAAGGTGCAGTCAAGAATTGGGTTTCATATGTGATTGCCAATTGAGAATTGTGCTTCATATGCGAGTGTCAATCGAAAGCTGGGCTTGATATGCTGGTGACAGTCGGAAGTTAGGCTTGATTTGCGAGTGCTTATCGAAAGTACGTCTTGATATGCAAGTGCTAGTTGCAAGTTGGGCTTGATATGCAAGTTCTTCTCGAAACTAGACTTCAATGCGGGTCCCAATTAGAAGTTACGCTTGGTAACTTAACTCTCCTACCTACATTCTTCAGAATTTTTTTCTTTTCCTTGAATTTGTCCAGGCCAGGTTCATCTTATTATACCCACCTTCTCCAACTTTCCTTTTTTGCTCTCTCTGCATAAGGGGCTACGGAAGGGGTTGTGCTACATAAGTCCGAGGAAGTCGCACAAGTGAAGGTATATTTCTTGCTCTTCTTCTAGTTTTTTTGGAGCTATGCGATTTTCTTTTCCTCCCATTGCACACACTTTCACTGTTACTCATCCACACACACTCGCGTCTCCCCACTCTCGCCAGACTCACCCTTTTTCCCCCCGAAGGCTTCACTCCCTTTCTCCCTCACCAGACCTCTTCTTTGAAACCCCTCATTATTGCACCTCACCACCATTATCATCAGGCCTCCACTCCCATCTCCCTTTTTCCCTTCACCTCATCCATTTTCCCTTTTCTCTCCACCCTCACCTGTAACATCCCTTTGAAGATGCAACCTATAATTTTTTTTTCCACAATTATTTCATCTCAAATAACACTTGATAAAAGATTTATCCTAACCTCTTTATTCGTCAAAATAAAATATTATTCATCCAAACAACTAACTTAAACCATCAAAATGGACTTAATATCAAATCTTTCCAATACAAACTCAAAATTACTACACTATTACATTATATTCAAAAGTATATTTTCAAATATCTTAAAAAAAACTCCCAAAAAGCTTTCCCACGAGCTCCTCACCGCTAAGCTTCTTTGACAGTACCTGCATCAACATCTACTCCCGCATAACACAAGTCATACGATCATCGCAGATAGTAAAACATGCAAGGGTGAGCAAAACATGTATCACATCACATATCATTCATGTCATCATATAATTCACCTAGCATTATCATAATGTAACAAAACTCATTCATAATATCCACAAGTACATATTTTCAACACTACAACACTAACACTTTATCATATTACCACCAAGTAAAAACAGACGGTATAAAATTCTCTCATAGTCAACCCCCATACTTTTCCTGCGCACCAACGCCTCTTGGAAAAATCCATAACGTATTACCACCAAGTAAAAACAAACAATATAAAATTCTCTCATAGTCAACCCCCATACTTTTAGTGCGCACCAACGCCTCTTGGAAAAGTCTCTTCCCCTGCTTTCCATAGACTTACTAGCAACAACTCCACCCGCTCGACAAAGCCTTGGATGGAGTACTCTTGCTAAGCTCATGCTAAAGACTAACGGAGGAACGAAACCTCTTTACCATGACTCGACAAAGTCCTTTAGGTCAAAAAATCATTATGGCTTTACGGTTATCAAAGAACTCATACTGTTCCTTCACCTATATACACACATATGCATACAAGATCTCATTGCAGATCAAACATACCAAAACTTATCAAGTAATTACATCATATCACAATTCAAGTATTTTTTTTCCTTATATTTAAGGATTTTAACATATAACTCCCACAAGTTCTGCATCAAAATAATATAGACAGCAACAACAATAAAATAAAACAGTATCAACATTAGCAACATGAAATGAAAATAGGAATAACATCATTTTGAAGATTCCACTACCAGGGCAGTACTCAAAGATATATTTTTATAAAATTAAATAATGGTCATAAAATTAGGAAATTAAATATACTTAACATATACATACAGTCACAACTATGATAAACATTTCATCTTAAAACACTTCAATCTAGATTTTATATGATTTTTCGAAGTTGCATGGCGGACATAGCAACTCTGTTTCGCCCAACTCAAAACCTAATCACTTCCAAGATTTTTCATGGAAAAACTACTTGTTAGAAAATTTTGAAATAAATCAGACACTAATTAGACATATGAAGGAACATATAACCAAAATATCAGAATTAAAAACCAAATAGATATTTTTATATAATTTCCCAAAGATTCTATTTACATGCAGATTTTTCCAGCAACACCTCTCAACACATTTTTCATCATCTTTCTCAATTTAAGTGATTTTTATGGCTAACTCTAGGTTTTGGCATACAAGGAATCCATTTTTAAACTCTAAAATGTGAAAGGAGAATTGTAGAGTATCGAAAAATACACTAGAAAAACCATACGAAATTTTTATCAAATATTCTTGTTAGGTTCTAACTCATGTAGGAATGAGATAAATGGTGGTTTAGCCTAGGATTGATGACAAGAAGACTCTCCTTTCAATTCCATATCGACAACTCAAGAAATCAACTAGTTCAATTAGCTCTCATGGTCCTTTGTTTTCCTTTACCGAGACTATATAAATAAAATTTAAATTAAAAATTATATATTAATATTTTTTCTTATCCAAGCCATTCCTCTCCCAATTTCCAGCTCACTTACTCTCTTAAATAATTTGGTGTACTGTGTACAAATTCAATGTATCTGCCTCAACTATTCACCTCCCAAGGTACACCACTCGAATTTACAAAAAAATATATATTATTACTTCCTTTTGACTCTAGTCAGGATTTAAACTCACAACCCCCAAGACTCAAGCATTACTCTAAACCATAACAACCATCATATGTTTCTTGTCAATCCATACACATAACAAAAATTCCAATGTACCCACACACACAATGCATACAAGAAAACAACCATCAACCAAAAATTTCTAAACGTGACAATTAAAATTTTCTAATTCCCTAAGCATACTCAACGATCAGGCACACACATGAGTATTTTCTAAATAATTATAAAATAATAGAAAAATTATAATTATTCTAATGCACATACAAGAATCAAACCCATGACCCCCAAATCTCATGGCAAGGATCTATCCAAATGAGCCACTTTTCATCTCTACAATATTATTAAATTCTTAATTTAATTACTTCCCTTACTTCCAATTTCTACCTTAAAATATATAATTATTTTCCTGGGTCTTACATCACATCTCCCTTCATTCTCCATGCGAGCCTTTCCTTAACCTTCAATCCCCTCGCTGCAACCCATCAAAATGACCCGCACCACCTTTGCCCTCTGCGCCACCATACTCACCTAACCCTAGCCAACCACCATGAACCCACCACCAAGCCCCAACCCTAACACCACTTCTCTTTGAGCCTCCCACTTAAGGCCACCACGAGCATGCTCCACCTCAGCATTGTCGCACCCTCCACCGAGCCCTAACCTTGTTTGTCCCATCACGAATGATCTTATCGTGCGAGCCCGAGCTACCTCATCCTTTCTCCATCGCACGACCAACCCCTAGCCACCACAAACCACCTCCAAGCTCTAGGTACCCTCTAGCTAGGGAAAGCCTTTGGTGAGTGCTCCTTCCCCGCAAATCCTTGCTTGAGATAGGATCGAGGGTCCCACCATGTTGACCAGGGAGGGGGTGTTGCCACCGTCAAAAGAGGCGGTCGGAGCGACGCATAGGTATTCTGACTTCCGTTTCGCATTTAAAATGTGACGTTACAACGCCTTTAGGTTGTCCGATAACCGAGCTGGACCTAAGAGCGAGGTTTTCGAAAGGGAGCTTTTAGGTTGTCCGATAACCGGGATGGACCTAAGAACAAGATTTTCGGAAAGGGTTCTTATGGAGTCGCCACCGATGTTTTTACCAAAAACATCGGAAAAGGAAAAAAAGAAGGCATTGACTTTTGAAAAACCAACTTTGGTCATTATAACCAGAGTCGGGTAAGGGAGTTAGGTACGTGTAGGGAAGGTATTAGCTTCCCTATGACGCCCCTTTTGAGTTCTCTATGATAGGTCTTTTAGTTCATAAATAACTTTAAAATGACGCTTTTACCCTTTTATTTGCGGAATTAAAAGTAACGACTACATGGCCCTAGCAGCTAATGCATAGATGAACGTAAATTAAAAAAGCGGTAAAAGAGAGGGAGAATAGTGAAGAAACCTCTGAAGAAAGCTTTCTTCATTAATACTCTTGGAATAGGATGCTTTTTTATAGTCCTTCACTCTACAATGTTGATCTCTCTCTCTCGCAACGTTATAAAAAGCTCTCTAAGAACACTCAGAAAACTCCGGAAATGCTTCGGAGGGGCTCTAGGAGAAGAATTTGAAGAAATGCTAGAAGAGAATGTTGAAAAACTGTGTGAAAAGAAGGGGAGAACGCCCTCCTCTTATAGGGATTCGCGCTTGTCAGGTCGAGACCGCCGTCTCGCTTGGCAAGGTCGAGACCGTCGTCTCGCCAAACGGGACGGCGGTCTCGCCTTTGGCAAGTGGCGAGACGGGCGTCTCGCCAATCGAGATGGCAGTATCGATTTAACAAATGGCGAGAAGGTCATCTCGCCAAACGGGAAGGCAGTCTCGCCATGGCAAGTGGCGAGACGACGGTCTCGACCTTTCAAGTGGAATTCCTTAGTTTTTCTGTACAAAAAACCTTCCTACTCTAATATGGGGCCTATTAGTCTATCCTAGGGACCTTTTAGGCCTCGCCCATCTTCGAATTGGAGGTCTTCTGCTCTTTATTTTAAGGCCAGACAAGATTTGGGGTTTACAACTACCCCCCTTCACCTGACTATCCGACTGTTGGCCTATTATGCCAAAAAGATCGACTGGAGGGTGAAGGAGTTAACCCTCTTGCCCGGCTGTCCTTCGGATGCTCCGTCTTGCGGTGGCTAACCCTCTGGACAAAAAATGTTGTGCACCTCCAGGATGCTCCTTCATGCGGTAGCAGACCCCTTTGGTTGACACGTGGTAGAACCTCAGGATGCTCCTTCTTGCGGTAGCCGACCCTTCGGTTGATGAGTATGAACCCCCTTCCGGTTGGTTGTAGCTTCAGGATGCTCCTTCTTATGGTAGCCTACCCCTTAGCTGACAAGTGGTAGAACCTCAGGATGCTCCTTCTTGCAATAGACGACCCTTCGGTTGATGATATGAACCCCCATCCGGTTGGTAGTGTTTACAATCCATCATTTGTAGGTTTGGATGAGTATAAACCCCTCATCAGGCTAGTATGGTCCACAACGTAGGACCGACTTGCGACTTACTGCTCTGGCTCGTGTGTAGGTCATGCGCAAGTTGATGCGTAGATTGATGGGTATGAACCCCCCATCTGGCTGGTGTAGTCCACTTCGTAGGACTGGTGGTGGTGGTGGCTTACTGCTCTAGCTCATGCGTCCTTTGATGTGAGAAATGATTTTCTATTTGGTAAAGTCATCTTGTGTGCCAAGGATTATTTTGGCTCTTCCGGTGGTCATCCAGCTCGTTGATTGCTGGGGAGTCTTTGTTTTGCTCTTTTGATATTTGTCGTCTGACTTTGTTGGTTGTCGGGGATTTTTGGTTAATATGGTCGTCTTGCCAGTTTGCCTTGGCTAACATTTCAGATTTAATCCTGCCTTTTTCCACGGTTTATCTTTTTTCTCGCGACTTTGGATTTTGGATTTTGGATTTTTTAGGACTAAGCGCAAGTCTTTTTATTTTTTAGTCTCTTTTGTTACGCTTGACTTTTTCGAAAAGAAAGAATAAAGACAAATAGATTTACTAAAAGAGTTTATTCATATTATGATAAAATTTTGTACAACGATTATTTCGATAATGTCCCTAAGACGGCGGTGGACTCGAGCCGGGAGACGATCCAGGAGGGGGAAATTGCCGATACATATGTCTTTGAAATTCCTCCTGGCTCTGGATTGAGCTGAGCTAGTCTTGCCCAATACTCCCGATCGTAATGGAGGTGAGAAACTCCATTACAGCTTGTGTATACATGCGGGTGGGGGGAGGCTGGAGGAGGAAGTCCCACCCAATACTCCCGATGTACCCTCGCACATCGTCTTCCCATCCAAATTCAGCGAGGATGTGGAAATACAGCCTCAACATGGGGTGCCAGACATAGCCCTGGATGTGCTCCAGCCTGGCCTGGTGCTGGGGTGTCAGCTGGGTCGGGTCCGGAGGAACGGGGCCGCAGATGTGCTTGGGCCGAAACCCCGCCCTCTCTTCCTGGATGACTCTCCTCTATGCATTTTTGGTAAAAAACACTCAAGAATGTAGAAAATGATGTAGAGAAAACAAGAGTGGATGCTCCAAACCACCCCCCATGCCTTCCTATTTATAGGATTCTCGTCCCTGGTTGAGACCGTCGTCTGGGATTTCGGGACGACGGTCTCGATTTAATGAGACTCGGAACCGCTGTCTGGAACTTTGAGACGACGGTCTCGCCTTTGGCCTATGGCGAGACGACCTTCTCACCAAGCGAGAAGGAGGTCTCGTTTCTGTCCAATGGCGAGACGACGGTCTCGAAATTTGGGAAGGCGGTCTTGATTCAACGCAGGTCTAGACAGCGGTCTCAATAATCGAGACGACGGTCTCGCTTTTTAGAGTTTTTTTGGTTTGAAGAAATATGACCTTGTTCAAAAACATTCTATGCATGCAATGTTTTCATGTTTGATGCCCTATAATGTTATTTCATTAATTTTTCAGAAGGATTAACTAGTGTCTTAAAGAGACGGGGGCCCTCTGATGTTTGCTTCTTTGTTGTACTTGTTTGTGCCGTTCCGGACTTAACGTGACCGAAGAATGATTTTTGGTTTGGAGAGCACACTTTGCCACTTTGGTGCACTTTTTCCTCGCTTGAGGGATTTCAATTCTCTTGTTGATTATACGCCTCCATATTCCCAAACTAATTCTTAGAATAATGTAGTGAGGATCAAGAGAAGAGAAGTAAAGGGGATAAATTCAAGGGCTTGTGTTTTAGGTGGTTGATTTTTATTTAGAAGAGATTTTGTAAGAATGGATGGCTAGGGTTGACTCGAGTGTTTAAGCTATTGTTTAAACAAACATTTTTCTTTGTGGATTTGCGCCTTAGCCTATTTCCATTGCTTTCATGACTAATTGATTTCCCCAGACCGCCCTTCGGGTTTTCAAACTAGGACATTGTGTTTTGGTCCTATCTTTTGTCTAGGTTTCTTTTTTCTTGTTTTGGGAATCCTATTGGACCTTATTTTGTAACCCTAACTTTTGCCTAGGCTACCCTTTATTTTTGTTTGGATTTCCTAGCAGGTTGACCCTAACTTTTGCATAGCCCCCTTAGTGGATTTCCTACCGGGTACTTTGCCCTTTTTCTTTTTGGCCTTTGGCTTCTAGGGGCTTTTTCTTTTCTTTTTGTTTTTACACAATATTGGCGAAACACGAATTTATTTATGATGAGATAAAACCTTATTTTGTGCTTGTCGCCGCCGTCCCTTTCGACGTCCGGGGGGACGTCTCGAAACGTTTATGCGAGCGGTCGCGAAAAGATGGTTTGGACTCGCGTATTTGTTTTAAAAGGTTTTCGAAAAGAGGTTCTTATGGAGTCGCCACCAATGTTTTGACCATAAACATTGGAAAAGGAAAAAATGTTGATTTTAAGAAAAACCGCACTTGGCCATTATAACCAGAGTTGGGTAAGGGAGTTAGTTACGTGTGGGGAAGGTGTTAGCACCCCACAACGCCCCTTTCGGGTTCCCTATGACAGATTAATTCATTTAAATAAAGACTACGAGAAATTACGCGATTACCCTATTTTATTACATAATATTAAATGGCTATCTACATGATTTTATTCTATGTTGCATGTATAAAATGATGAATAAAGTTAAATAAAGCAATAAAAGAGATATTAAAATAGCTATCTACATGATTTTATTCTACCTGGCATAAACGGTAAATAAAGCTAAATAAAACAATAAATAAAGCAATAAAAGAGAAGAGAATTGAAAAGAACCTCCGTAGCAAGCTTTGTATTGAGAATCTCCAACTATGAGGATGCGTTTTGGCAACCCCTCTCTCTACACGAGACTCTCCTCACCAATACAAGATCGACCCCACTAAAAATTTAAAGAAGAATCGAATGCTGGAATATAATTCCTTAACCGATTGTTACCTACTTAAGGCAATCGGAAAGATCATTCAAGAGAAAGAAAGAAATAGACAAGTGCTCGAGTTGTAGAAAGTGTTTCGAGCTCTCGGAGTGTCCGTGGTGTGAAAAAGTGGCAAATGAGCCTCCTATTTATAGTTTTTCGCAGCTGGCGCACTTTGGGACGGCCGTCCGGGGTGGGACGGCCGTCCGGACTGGGACAACCGTCCCAAATGGCAAAATTACACAGTGCAGGACCCCACAGGAACCGGGACGGCCGTCCCACATAGCTGGGCTCGGGACGGCCGTCCCAATTTCGGGACGCGCGTCCCAGCTAGGCTGGGGCAGGTTGGGACGGCCGTCCCAACCAGGACGGCCGTCTCAACCTGTTCGGCCGGTTCGCGCGTTTCGGGACTCCGGGAAGCTCTCCTTGCCTATTTTGGACGTCAATTGATGCCGATATGTGTCTATTGAAGCTTTATCTTCATATGGGAAGTCTCCTTGGCTCTTATTTGTAATGCTA